TGTTAGGTCCCAAGGTGCCTACTTTGAAGGGGACTGAGGCGTCATTGTCCTACGTACAATGTTTCTTGTATCTTCTTCAATAAATATCTCTATTTTTCATATTATATGGCTGGATACCTTGTGGATAGGCCATATCTATCTATCTATCTATCTATCTATCTATCTATCTATCTATCTATCTCTCTATCATCTACCTATTATCTATCATCTATCTATCTACACACACACACACAACAAAGTTTTGTCACACTGTCTTAAAGAACTTGTCCCCTTTACCAGTTTTCCTTCAATCCTCTTCAGATTGATTCTTTTTTCTGTGTTGGGTTTTATAAGGGAAAGATATATATTAGCTTTTCCTTGGTCATTCATGCTGACTCTTAGTTTAGATCTAGTTTTTTGAGGAAAAAAGGAGAGAAGGAGCAAGGGAGTTATTATATAGTCATTTTGTGGATAATTAACAAACATGGTTCCATTGAATAGGTTCTTGTGAAGAATGCTACACTCAAGTACCTTGTCTTCTGTGTTTTTGTAATACTTTATATCTATTTATTAAAGCACATGCCCTTCTAGTTATCTGTATTCATGCTAATGTTTTAATCTCCATTAAAAATCCATGATAGGGCCATGTCTCACTAATCCTCTAACAGTTTCATGATTAATAAATGTTAAGTTGGAAAACAGTTTACAAAAACAAAACTTTTATAATTAAGGCCACTAGAATTCTTCGTCTGTATAAGATGTTTCCCACTTTCCTTACTTCCCTCTGAGAAAGTTAAACAGAATCAAGTTTGGACATGCCTTCCTATAGAAAATTCTAGGAAAGAGACAGGTAAGATGAAACTGACAGGAATGAAATTGGACACTTGAAGTCAGCATGCATGGTATTTGTTTCCTTCTTTCTCACTTGACATTCCAATTATGTCTAAATCATGCTGGGATACAAACCATCGCTATCAATTACTCTCTCTCAGCAGATCTTATAGAGACAGATGATTGGGCTGTGACATCCTTCAGCTTTAGACAGAAATCTTGTGAGCAGCAGACGAAAACATTAGTGACCACTGCATAGAATGATATGTCTGTCCTAGGGTTTAGAAACCCAGACTGCACCTGGGTTTCTAAAATGACTTTTTTTTCCTCCTGTCTTTGCTCATTTTGGTATGTATTTGGAGAGAGACAAACTTCTGTCACATCTCTGCTAGGATATAGTTTTATAATTTGAAACCATGCAACATATTTTTCCTTTTTCATCTCTACTTCATGTTCCATTTATGCCTTTACCTCAGCTAATCTGAAAATGTTGGGACCCTTATAAAGATCCCTTTAAACAAGAAAATTAGATTTTTATTGGAATGTATTATCTATTCCCCTGTTCTCAAGAGCAAGTCATTGCTCAGTTTTTCTTCACAATATCAAGTACAAATTCCACTGGCACATAATATCAACAGCTAAAACTTAATTATCTCACCCACTAAAAATAAAGAATAATTATGCAATTAGTAGAGGTGCTAAATATTGCTAACATGGCAATCATGTTACAATATATACAGCATCTGGCAGAAGTAACACCTGCTTGTATGCCTGTTAGTAAGGTAATAATTTATAGTTTTAATTTGAACATTTCACGTACCATCATATGGTGTGCTTGAGTGTGATATTATGTTACATAATTACATGCTTATGATTTTGTAATAAAAAAGGGTGTTATTTGTGCTTGACACTGTAAATGTATCATATTAACACACTGTACACCTACAGTTTACATGATGTTATACATCAGATACATTTAATTAAAAAAGTATTAAGAGTATTTGGATGTTTGCCTCATTGAGAACTTCCTAAAAGTTACGAACAGACTACTTAAAAGCTGTTAGGTGTTCTGCTTCTGCAAGTTCTACTTCTTGCCCTGGGGTGTTTAAAGATGGTGAATCCAAATGCTTATTCAGGGACAAACATGCCAAATAAACCTAAGTATCAATAATAAAATTTGGTTGAATGACAATTATTCAGATGCCTTTTGCACACTGACACTTTTCATCTGTGCAATGCATGCTCACTGACTGATAAATTTCCCTGTAATATTAGACTTAGGTTGCTGATTACCAGGGAAAGTCATAGCTAACTTCAGTTTCAGCCACCTGCGGCCTGAGAGAAAGGTTTGCTTTAGTGGGTATCTTGCTTAGTCAAACATAGCATAAAATGGAATCCTAGTATTTAAAAATGTAAGTAATTGAATGTAATGCTAATTAGGCAGCACTAATCAATTTATGTTCGCAGTGTTTAGTCCTTTATGATTCAGAAATAAAATTTGGTAATATTCCTCAAGCAATGATGTTGGTTAAGGAAAGTGGAAGAAATCCCTCTTGATAATGAAGTCTCGGTGGGCTAATTCCTTTTTTAGCACACTACTGCAAAATAATGTTCTTTGGAAATAATTTTTTAAATTGGCTGCACATGTGTGGCTAGACAATTTCATTTCAAGCTAAATAAACATGATTAAGCCTGGCAGTTATTCAGATGGTGCAGAAACATTCCAAATTCATTTTATCATGATAAATTTATAATTGCTTTCCGAGAATAGCAAGAAAATACTTTTACCCATAATACTTTATAATTTTTTTTACAATTTTAAAGTTTTAATTTTAAGTAATCCACATACAAAATTATATCTTAATTCTTCATCTCCATACTAGTTATGTGCATGACTTCATATTCTTTGATAATCAGTCATGGTTCATATGTTTGTGTAGATCCCATATAGATTGTGCTCTTGCATATTTTGACCATAGAATAATTAGAACTAAAGCTAAACTTTAGTTTTAAAACTAAAACTGACAAATTAAAGGGGCATGGGATTTCTGACTCTTAGTTTTCAGGTTGGGGTGGGGTAAGGAAAAGAATCCACATAATGTAAGGCTGATCAGCCTGAACACTGGTTTACAAGCAGGAATGCACTGATTTTATCTTTTTGGAATGCACATAATATTAAAAGGATTAAGAAATTATAATGCAAAGAGGCAGCTGAAGGCAACTTAAGTGCACTTTTAATTTAAAAGAGAGAATTATTGAAGTACCTCTATATGAGAAATGCTAAAGCGCATACCAAAAAAACACATTTCAGTGAACTTTTATAGTACACCAGAAAGAACCCTGAGCTGGGATTGTGGGTTGTGTGATCTTGGAGAAGCACTAAATTTCTTCACATCTGTCTCCTAGGTTAAAAGATACAGAGTCCCACCCAGCTCTAACAGGTATAAGATTTCTCTGTTATCAAAACAGAATCAGGAATGGAAACACCAAATACTTTAACATTTTCAAGATACACAACCCAAAATAATGACAACAGACGCTAGGTATAGACTTTCATTGTGTATAGACCCAGAAAGCCTGAAATGCTGAGATACACAGCTTGTTTTTTCATTAGTTTTTCTGAAAGGAAGCATGCATCCTGAATGTAAACTTTACAGAAATACAGTAAAATAATTACAAACACTAGGAAGCAACAAATAAGCCAAAGATAAAAAGTGTATAAATTCTTTACTTATTTCAGAAAAAGGAACAAATTGCTATACTTGAATCAATAGGAACAATGGCTAATTTTTTAATAAAAGCAAAGCACAATTGAGGATCTTGAATTCTTACTGGTAACAGACATGGAAGCACTTGGGCAAATGTTCTCTTTCTTTATCTCCATAGCTAAAAAAGTGGACCAATATTTACTACCCAAGAAGAAGACAAAAGTAATTTAATTAAACTTGCTGGTAAGCAAACCTCAACACCATGCTTACAAAATTAGCTTTAAAAAAGAGTATCAAAAGCCTTAACAGGGCCTAAAATCACTGTCATTGTTTGCAGTGTTGAGCTGGAGGCCCTAGGTTTTCATTCTTCCTCCTTTCGCATAGTTCAGTCCATGCACTTACCAGGGGAGGGCGCTGAGTGAAGCGCTCACCTGGACCGCTGGCGGACATAAGGAAAGGACGGGAAGAGAGGACATGGTTTTGAGCTGCCATGCTGAATCTCTTTACTCTCAGGCAGGCTGGGTGGGAGAGAGGTAGAATGGGGAGTGTCCTGACGTTAGCAAGCTCACCTGTCACTTTTATTATTATAATTTTGTCCATTTAGTAGATTTCCTGTGAGATCTTTGAGGGTAAAAATAGTGTGTTATTCTTTTCCATATCTCAGTGCATGGCACACAGTAAACACTTAACTGTGGATTTGTAAAAGGGATGAATAAAGGTCCCCCATCTCCTTTGGGACTCCTTTCTCCCTCTAGTTTCATGTGTTCAGAGAATTGATTAGGTTAGGAAGTTCCTTATTTAAAACTTTGGTGGCTCCCTTGAGTTGTCCTCCTTCAACGCATTCACACCTTGAAGTGAATTTGATCTAGCAACCTGTGAGTTCTTGGATCTCTTGGATCTCCGGTTGGAGAAGAGGGCTCTGAAGGAAAGTCCTCCACGGGGCTGGGGGCTTCGGATTACTGAAAGCAGCCCTGGGAGCTGAAGACCAAGGAAAGGACGTGAGGGAGTCACAAGGAGTTTATTCAGGGCCAGAGTGGTTACCTTTACAGGGATTCCACTTCCCAAACCCATTCGGAGGGATTTGACAGCACATGCTGCCAACCATTTCTGTAAACATTTAGCATTTGTAAGCACGCAGTGGCGTGGTGATGCCCGTGTTTGGTGGCCAAGCCCACAAGCTGCACATCCCAGTTATTCCCAAGTTACTAACCTGCACTCTATGGCCCGGGTTAGCTGTGCTAATGAAGAAAAGAGACAGGCCTTGATGGCCCCCATTTTCCCCTTATTCTCTTTATCGTCAGTGTGGTCTAGCGTAGCTTTCACAGAATTTCACACTTCATAGGACATTTGGAATATGTTCCCCTGCTCTTCCTCACTGACCTCCCATGTCACCCATCTTAATCAACTAATACCCTCTCTTCCAAGCTTAGAACACAGGCTTTGCACTTACAGCTCTCCTATGGGGCCTGGCAGATTACCTACCCGCCTTCTTCTGAATATTTATGCCCAAATGCCAGGATGTCAGATGCCCGTCCACTCCCATCACAGACCACAACCGGCACAGGAGGGGTGTCTCGAAGGTACTCCAAGACAATTGAGATCACATTGGGTCCTCCTTCCACAATGAGTGCCACCACTGGAACGCCTTGACCGATTCCTGCATTAAAAAAGGAAAATAAAAGGAAAAAAGAGAAAAGAACACAAAGCCAGCACACCAAAGAGACAAAAAAAAAAAAAAAAAAAAAAAGAAAAAAGAGAAACAAAAAGCACAAACTAAAATTACTGAGCACAGGGGGAGGTAACAACATATGAGGGAATAAAATACTGAGCAAAAATTTACAGAAAACCCTTTAGGAGGATGCTCCCACCAGAAAAATCTATATGATTTTGCCCTTTCCCAACAATCCCCAGGATGCTGGGGTGTTAAGGCACTGATTACCACATTTTACAGGACAGAGCACAAGAGAAGGAGGAGAGAAAGGAATTGATTAGTAGATGAAGCCCTGGGCCAGCAGACAAAGATTGGAAAATAAACGTGATCTTAAACAAGTCATGTATGTATTCAATGGTTCAGTTTCTTACATGAAAAATGGGAAGTTAAAAATGCCCCCTTTCTGAAGCCAACACAGTGGTAAGAAAATGCCTAAATGGTTCTTCTTATTAAAGACTGTTAAAATCAGCTGAAGGCATATTTTAACTTGTTGAATGAATTACTGGCTAAATAAGGAGTTTATTTCTGACCATAAATGATCAGCTTGGTTGTTGATTCTTAACAGTGTGATAGTCATAATAAGGTGCCAGGAGACATGGCATCTGCCATCTGCCATTATTGCACCTTCATACTGAGCAAGGAGCCAGGCACATGGCAGCTGGTCAGTAAACATTTGTTGAATCCAGTGATTTCACAGTCCTTTCTTAAAGTATTTAAGCTGAACCACAAGACATTGCTGTTTTCAAGTAAAAATTGCCCTAACATCAGCATTTACCTATGGCTCAACCTAACATATTAACAAGAACTATTAAAAACAAATGTCTTGGAGAGACATCAGAAAGAAATCAAATTCATTTTCAAGGATCATCATTCTTCATTGAATAGATTCCTTTTACTCAATTTGGTATCACACTGTACTTGCTCATTCGACCTTCTCAGGTTTTATAGGGTATACAAAACAGTTATCTTAAAGAACTAATCAAGGTTCTATACCACATCTACAAATAGGAACCAAAATAAGGCTTTAGTCATCTTAGCTCTCCTCCTCCCCCTATGCTATCGTTTTATCTGATACCAAGAAACTGCTCTCCTGTGAGAAATAATAGTTTGGGGTTTGGTTTCTCATTCCATTAATAAGAGATTTTATTTGACTTGTGTGTGACTTGTTTTACTTCTAAATCAGTATTTTTTCATGGCTTGATTTTCATCTTAAAAGAGTGGTCCAAAATGCCAGCTATACAGAATGGGTGCTGTTTTAAATCTACATTTCAAAAGTGTAAAAAAAAAATGACAATTGTTGATCGAGGCAAGATGCAAAGATTTTTTATTTTTGTTCCCTAGAGGGGATTGGGAGAGAGAGAAGACTCATGGTTCCATTAGAGTTTTCTGTGCATGGAGAAGTTCTGAGAGTCACTCCTTCAAATCCAAGGAAAAGGAAGTGAAAGGTCATGTTGCTCTCTCTTTTGACCCAGAAGCCCTTCATGACTTGCTCAAAAGGTTGCTTTAAAGCTCTGTTTGGGTGTCTCTGAGGAAGACCATTTTCCCATTGCTGCTGATTTGGAGGATTAAGTAAATTCCTGTTGAAAGGCACTTTGAAGATTAACATCTAATTTGAAATGTTAATACAGCACATTTCTTTTGGAGGAGAATTTGCTGATATAAAAAATACCTACCCTGATAGATTTGTATTTTAATGTGCTTTGGAAGTGTATCTTTTCCAATGTTGAAAGTTAGTTTTGTAAGGTATCTTTCAAAGTACTATGCTGTTTAACTTTCCTTTTTGTTTTGTTTTAGCACATGTTCCCATATTGCTTCATATCAAGAAACAATGAGCTATACTTGATATTTTATACCAAATGATATATTTAGACTTATTCTAGGTTCTTCTAAGGGAGGCCTTTGCCAAATTTTGACTCTTGAGCACTGATTCTGTCAGTGGGATCTTTATTCCAACTCACACAACAATGGAGATCTACTTACTGTTCTCACAGAGAAAGAAGTCCTATAATGGACTTTCTGGAATGTTCCAGTGATCTAGAGTCTACATGATAATAGGCAAGATGTCTGGAGACCTCTCTTCTTTTTGAGAGGATACATGGGTGCAAAGGATCAATTTTCACAGGATGATTTGAGAGCAATAAATTGTCAGTTTGTAATTAAGTTGTTATACCCTCTAGAAATACAGAGGTTCAGAGTTCCTATGTTAGGAATAAAGTTGTAATCAATTATAATGCTGAAAAACTATATCAATTCTATATGAATATATGATAAGTAGATTAAATTTGGTAATATATGGTAACATTAAGCCTTTCTAACAAGACACACAAACACATACATATATTATCTTTGTTTCTGAGAAAAAAACCCCTCAAATAATTAGTAATGACTAAAACAATGGTTCTTAGACTATTTTAGAGAGTAGGATCTTTTAATACTTTCCTGTATCTGATGACAGCTATTCATACTTTCTCCAAAAAAAAAAAAATAGCTGCACACATGGACAGTCACAAAATATTTCTGTGCAGTTTCAAAGGGGTTCATGGATCCTTGAAACCTGTTCATGAAAAACTTGCTAATGGACTTCTATATAACCCATTGATATTTCTGCAAGGAACATTCATTTGTGTTCTTTTATGAAGCTCACTGAAGCCTATAAGACAAATTCTGGAATGGGTTTTCAAACAAAACTATGCCCATGGAAGCTATATCATGTTATTGCTGCCTTGTTACATTGATTGACTTAACTTTCCAGGATGGAGCACTACCTATAGGCTATCTCTCTTCCCTCCCCTTCATTTCTCTTCCTCGTTTTTGTTTCTTCTGTTTACAGTTTCATTCTGAATTACATTTTAGACTAGAGTATTACAAATATTCTCTAGAGAAATTAACAAACTTACAAAACAGTATCGGTAGCACCTAATTTTATTTGTAAAGAAAAAGCTTTTTAAAAAATCATTAACGGTATGTTTTTTATTGTTTACATAAGGAAAACATTCTGGGAATCAACTGCAGGTCTAGGTAGATGCCCAGTGCCCACTACCATTTTCTTTATGCTCATAAAAATCAGTATTAATTCCTTTGAACATCCTCACAGATGTATGCCTTGCTTAGCCAAACCCACCAACCATTCACAAAAATAGTTGTTTAGACCTGGAGTTTTAAAAATATAATCTCTGTTATTTAGGGAAAAGAAGTTTAATTTTGTCTAGATCCCTCAGGGACCTTTTTGTGAGTACTTGTTCTTTTAGTTTTGAGGAAAAGTAGGTTAATTTCTCACTTGATTGCAATAATTTTTCATTTTCTACCATAACCAAAAACTTGCAGTGGTTCTTATAGATATTTCCATTAGAATTTAATTTTTGAGCAATGTAGATTTACTTAAGAATCTTTTGTAGTTTCTTGCCACACTCTAGCTTTTGCAGTTTTAGAACTGGATGCATTATAGCCTACAAAAATGTGAGCATGAGTCATGGATTTAGTAGCTAAATTCTGCAGGATTCCAGGATGACCAAGGGCTCTCAAATTACTGACTGAACCCCAGTAGTGTTTTACAGAAGATAATCTTTTAGACTGACATCACATTTTACTGTGATTGTTATGCAGTTCAACCTGGGCTCCCAATAAGGCAAAAAGTGTCAAAAGTGGCTTAAACAAAGATTGGGTTGGGTATTGTGAGGAAGGGAGGTGGAAGGAATGGAAGGATGACTTAAAATTCCAAAGGTCTTTTTTCTCTCTTTTTCTGCTGACATGATACCATAATTTATGATCAGTTCAGGTACTTTTGAAAGCATGTGGTGTGTTGTAGTGAACTGCTTAGACAACTGAAAATTTTGATCAAACCATATTTACACTTGGGTTTCATGTCAATATCAAGCTAAATTGACACATTGATTTTACATCAACATCACCAGATATGATCTAAAATGCCTATGAGCCTAAGGAATGATTTATTTGCATTTGGAAATGGTTTATATTTACATGGAGTTAGAATGTGACTGATCTTTAGCTAAATCCTAATGACCAAGGCCACAGATCATATGATTAGTGCAGCATAGGTCATTTTTAAAGGAAAGTTTGAGTTTTATGTTTGAGTTTCCTAAAGATCTTGAGCATTTCAAAGCTATGTCTATCCGTGGTGGGTGGACACTTCTGTTTAACAGATAAAGCTGTATAGCAATAACATGAACACAATTAGTTCACTGGCCTTGCCAGCTCTGGAATTAAGTGATTCTTGGTTTAGAAGTTTGTGTAGAGAATTCATATGCTTTGAAATTATGCATGTAATGAGACTTTATTGAAATATTTTATTTTGCACCATTTAAAATTTGCATAGTTAAATTTTGCTTAAAATTAAAAAGTAATGAACATGTCCCCTTCATCCAGTTTCTCACTTGAATGGCCTGGTCTTTGATTCAATGGTTTACACAACCAACAAAATACTGATCACCATTTCCTGTATTTGAACTTCATAATAGGGCCATAAAAACGCAGTAACCACCTAAGATTGTGCATTTTTCAGATAGAACCTTACATAGACTTGGGGGACATTAGCCATTACTGTAGTGATGGGAGGAGTAGCAGTCAAACTATTTGTCTCATTTTAATGGTCATTTATTTCCTCCCTACTTCCAAAGAAATGGCCCAAGTTTGCACAATACTACAGCTTTTCACAAATAGTTCCAGATTTAGATTCTGGATGTCTTAACTTTTAGTGCTTCTCTTCTGTGGTCTGGAAGTTGTGAGATGGATTTATGAAAACTACATAAGGCTGGTAATTAGCTGTGTTTAACTGACAATGTTCAAAACTATTCTTGATCCAGTATGAGTTGCTTCTTACAATTAGGAATATTCCCAGTGCATGAATATTCAGATACAACTGAATATTATTGTACAGAAAGAGAATATTTAATATGCTATCTCATGCAAAAGAAAATGCTATTGAAAAT